CCCGGATCGAAAACGCGGCGGAGGCGAGTCTGGCTCCCAACGCAACCCAACTTACGATGCCCTGGGATGCCTCTGGGCCTCCCCTCCCCATCTCCCACCATCTCAACCCAACCCCGATGTGGCCCTCGATGAAATCCCCGTCGAAATCCTCTCCGTAAAATCCCCGGCCTTGAAATCCCCTCCGTAAAATCCCTGCCATCGAAATCCTCAACGTCGAAATCCCCTCCGTAAAATCCCTGCCGTCAAAATCCCCTCCGTCGAAATCCCCTCTGTAAAATCCCCGCTATCGAAATCCTCGGCATCGAAATCCTCTCCATAAAATCCCCGGCGTCAAAATCCTCTCCGTAAAATCCCTGCTGTCGAAATCCCGTCTGTAAAATCCCCGGCCTTGAAATCCTCTCCGTAAAATCCCTGCCATCAAAATCCCCTCCGTAAAATCCCTGCCGTCAAAATCCTCTCCGTAAAATGCCCGCCGTCGAAATCCCCTCCGTAAAATCCCTGCTATCGAAATCCTCGGCGTCGAAATCCTCTCCGTAAAATCCCTGCCGTCGAAATCCTCTCCGTAAAATCCCCTCCGTAAAATCTCCGCCGTCCAAATCCCCTCTGCGACAACCCCCTCCACGCGGCGTTGGACCTTGTCCGGTGCTTCTCCAAAACGCTTCCCCCCTCCCCCCCTTTCTCCGCCCTTCCCGCTCCTCACTCTTCATGTAATCCAGGTCAGCCGACGCCAAGGTCAGGGCCTCCGATTCGTCTGTCGGCACCTTCTGGTAGCGGGCCTGCTCCATCCCCGTCATGCTGCCGATGCGCCGGCGTTCGTTCAGGTTGTAGCTGCGGTGGGCCGGCGGCGCTTTGGAGAGCGGGCGCTCGTTGGGGGAGGCGCCCTCGAACGGGCCGGCCTCGTCGAACTCGGAGCTGAAAGATACAACGCAACCGTTCAATCCCGTCCCCGTTGTCCTTCCTTCTACGACCTCGCCGTCTCGGGGACGATTGCGGTCATTAAACAGGACGGAATCCCGCCACTGACCCCGCGGGGCTCTTCCAAAACCTCCCTCCCCCTCCCAGGAAAGCCTCCCTCCCCTATCCCGGACCCCCGCGACCGCCCCATCCTCCGTTACCTGCTCGTTTTCGCGGCTCCGTCCATCGGGGGACTCCCGGTCGGTCGCGAGGATAGAGGCGGGAGTCGGTCCGGCTCCGCGGCGAGCGGGCTCTGCCGTTCGGCGGCGTCATCCTCCTGTAGGAAGAACTGGCAGCGCCGAAGTGGGGTGGGGGTCAGTTCCGGCGGGGACGAGAAGCCCACTCCTCTCGCCCGTCCCACTTTACGACGGGTCCGTACCTGCACCCCTTCCGGAGAACTGTTGGCGAGGAGCTCGTCCGGGGTCGGGTCGGTTTCGGTGTCACCGGTGTCATCCTCGCCTTCCTCGTCCGGGCCCCCTTCCGCCTCTTCTTCGATGGTGGGGGTCTTGCCAGGCGCCGAGGGGGTCTTCTTCTTCTCCTCCTCTTCCTCTTCCTCCTTCTTCCTCTTCTTCTTTTTCTTCTTCTTCTCGTTCTTCGATCCTTTTCTCCTCCGTCCGTCAGAGGGCAGGTGGGCGGAGAGCGGGTGGTGGATGTGGTGGGAGGACTGGCGGTGGTCTGCGGAAGAGGGAGGGGTCTGCTGGGGTGGGAAGCCCTCCCCCTAAGGGTCTCCCGCTCCAGCAAGTGGTGGGGTTGGACTAGATGACCCCTCGTGCTGCCTTCCAAATCTGACCCTTCTACGATTCTATGAGTTTCTCCCTCCCTGACCCCCAAAGAGACCCCCCCCATTATCCCTTCCCCATTCCCACTGGGATGAGAAGAGGTTCTCCCCAACCCACCCCGTAAGGGTCTCCCGCTCCTGCAGGGGCGGGGTTGGACTAGATGACCCCCCGAGGTCCCTCCCAACCCTTGACACTGCGTGATTTTTGTCAGGATCTCCTTGCTGGAGTTGTGGGTTGGGCTAGATGACCTCTAGGGCCCCCTTCCAACTCTCCTGCCCTTCTAGTGGGATTCCCACCCTCCCTGCCCCGAAGACACCCCCCCGCATCCCCCTCCCCGCTGGGCTGGGAAGAGCTTCCTTCCTCCCCCCGCCCCGCACGCCCTCCGTCGGGGTCTCGAGTCGGGGTTGGTCTGGATGACCTCCAGATCCCCTTCCAACTCTCGGCCATTCTGGTGGGATTCCCACCCCCCCCGCCCCCCAGACCCCCCCATCCCCCTCCCTGCTGGGCTAGGAAGAGATCCTTTCCTCCCCACCCCGCACGCCCTCCGTCGGGCTCTGGAGTTGGGGTTGGTCTGGATGACCTCCAGGCGCCACCTCCACCTACATTCGAAATCCTCCTCGCTGTAGCTCCGTCCGGCTTCCTCCCCGCCTCGCGGGGGCTGGGGCTCCTGCAGCAGCTCCTCGAAGCGCTCCACCCACAGGGTCCGGCTGAGGTCCTCCTCCGCGGGCTCCTCCGGCTCTTCCTCCTCCTCCTCCTCCTCCTCCTCTTCCTCCTCCGGCGGCTGCCGAGAGAGGAAAAATCCCGTCAAGGGGAGGAGGAGCAGGCCCGGTTTCCCAGCCAGGCACACGCACACA